CCAGCGAGCACCCAGGGGGGGGGGGGGAGGGGGGAGAGCTTTCTTGGAAGGGGCGGGGCTTCTGGGCACTCTCCTATTTCCCCCCCCCCAGCCCTCCATGCAAGAGAAAGTTCCTGTTTGCAAAGAAACGGAGGGCTTACGCTCTCTGGGCTCCGCAGCTGCCCTCCCCGAAGAGGACAAGGAGACGGGGGGAGACCCGTCTCCCTCTCCGCTCCCCCCCAGTTTTCATCCCTGTGGTGAGTTGCAAGAGGGGGGGAAGAGTCTCCCGGGAGGAAGGGAGGAGGAGGGAAAGAGGCTTGGGGGGGGGTCCGACTTGGCTTGAACCCTGTGCTTCCATCAGGACGAACCCCCCTTCCCAGCTGGGGGGGGGGGGAAAGGGAAGGACCGACCCCTCTCTGTCTCCCCCGGACCCCTTGGGAGGGGGGGGGGGCGCTGGCGGGGGGGGAGGGAAAGGGAAGGATCGACCCCTCTCTGTCTCCCCAGGACCCCTTGGGAGGGGGGGGAGACTCTGACTTGCCGCCCACCCCCCACCAATCCCAGTGAGGACCCCCCCTGCAAAAGCTCTGCCGACCTGCATCTCGCGCGGGAGGTGTTGGAGAGACGTGGGTTCCTCCCTTGGCACAGCCCACACCACTCTGAATGGGCAGCTAGCCCCGGAGGGCTGAGAATTCCCTGGGTGGAAACTCTTACGTTGGGGGGGTCGTTGCAACAGCCCTTGCTCAGCTCTTGCAAAGTCAAGCCTGCGGTTTCCTGTAGGCAGTCAGTCCATCTCGTGTTGGGTCTTTCCTCTTTTCCTCCTGCCTTCAGCTTTTCCTAGCATTATTGTCTTTCCCAGAGAATAGCGGGTCTTCTCAGGATGGGCCCAAAGTCTGGGACTGATGCCTTAACAGCCTCGAAAAGGTCCTCTCGTTGCCTGAACTGTGCCCAGGTCTTGCAAAACTCAGGGCTAGAGTTTCCTCCTTCACAGCCTGGGTGAAGCCAGTTCCTTCATGCAACCGAAGGATAGTTGCCTTGAGCCGAAGGATGATGGTGGTGGATGTTAGAGGACAAAGATGCCTCCCGGGAAGAAATCTTCCTGGAATGTCAAATTCATGGCTTTGCATGTGTCATGTCTTTTTTGGGGGGGGGGGACCGTGGCCCAGAGTAAATTAGAGAGGACAACTCAGGAATGCAACAGTGCAACAAAACCTGTGTCCACGAGAGTCCCCCACTTACTGTGCAGAAGAAAAAAAGAGAGAGAGAGAGAGAGAGAGAGGACATCACAGTAAACAAACCACAATTGCAGAATTCTGTGGCTTTGTTCGGTAACAGAGTTTACAAACAGAATTTATTATGTATTAATTATTTCATTCTTTTGCTCAAAAGCATCCTTCAGAGCAAATGGCATATATTCAAGTGGCATATATTCTTTTATTTTGCTTATTTAAAATATTTTTCCCCTGCCTTTATCCTAAGAAAGGAGCTGAGGTGGTTTATATAGCTGAAAACATAAGATTGGAAGCGAAAAACAGTAAGTATACAAATATAGAACAAGATTTAAACAAATATTATATTTTAAAACGGTAAATAAAATCAATAATAAAAAACACACGTTAAAAACAACAAGGCACAACACTCAGGTGGCCAGTCATTGAAGGAGAGCCTGCCTGAAGAGAAAGGTCTTGGCCTGCTGGCGGAAGGAGGGCGAAGATGGGGCCAGCCCATCCTCCGGTGGCAGGGAGTTCCAGAGTCTAAAGGAGCAGCCCCAGAGAAGGCCCTCTCTTCAAGATCTTATCCCCCAGGCAGGCTCATAACAATCAAATAAGAAATGCTTCACACAAATAAGCATTAGAACAGCTGGGTGTCCACACACAGAACAACACACACACACAACACACAAACAGGAGCCTTCTGCTCCTTCTGCAAAGCAAGTTGGAGGTCTACAAGATTTCTAGCTGCTGCTTATGTGCTTGCACGGTCCATGCGCTGCAGCTTCTCACCTCCTTAAGCCGATTACCTTTCAAAGGAACCAAACCGGGCACCATCCTGCTCCCTCAAACCCCCGGATCTGAAGCTGCATAAAGGCTGTCGTCCAGCCCCTTAATGGGCTCTGAAATTGCAGAGTTGCGTAGGAGAAAACAACGTGTGAGGTGCTATCTTTTTTTGGCTGGCTTAGGAAGCCGCTCTCTCGGCGGTCGGATCCTGGGTCTCCTTCTCCCCCAGTGTCGCTGCCGCGGATGAGGAACAGCGATGGCCCTTCCAGGTTTCAGGCGGTTTCCCCAGGTGCTGCTGGGTACCAAACATTGGATCTCTGCACCCCACAGAGTAGACCTTTGTTCTAGATGGGCGGGATAGAAATCCAATCCAATCAAATCAAAACAAATAAGTAAATAAAATCTCCTGTGCACGCCGTGTCAGCAGCTAAATTCTGCATCAATAGCATTAATGCCATACATCAGCTCGGGCATTAGAATGGCTTCACTGGACTTAGAGCAGGATACAAGCTTTCGAGTTATACAGAACACTTCCTCTCCCTTGATTTTTTTTTAATTTTGTTTTTTTACAAAGGGGAAAAGAGGAGAATGTTTGTTCTGAGTAGCGAATGGGGTATCACAATAGTCTTGATTTTCCGTCTTCCAGAAATCCCCGGAGAGACCCACCTTCGCCTCTTTAAGATGACCTTCTTTTCTGGAAACTGCCGTTAGAATGTCCAACCCGGAGGGGTCAGTCCTTTGACGCCGACCCTGCCTTAGGAAGGAACGTGGCCTTAGGATAATACAATCCGTTGACTTTGTTTTTGCGTGGCTGAGCCGCGGAGAGAGAATGCGTGTGCAGGATCCACCAGGGGGAGAGGGCCAGAAAGAGCCTGGCATCCCCCACCAGACTGGAAAGGATGGAAAAACCGTGGAAAAAACAGTGCAAAAGATGCTGGCCGTAACCATACCAACCCTGGACACACAGCGCCAGCGGTTCAGGAACGTCCGCTACCAGGAGGCCCAGGGACCCCGGGAGGTCTGCGCCCGGCTCCACGGCTCTTGTCGCCGGTGGCTGCAGCCCGAGAAGCGCACCAAGGCGGAGATGCTGGACCTGGTGGTGCTGGAGCAGTTCCTGGCCGTCCTGCCCCCAGCGATGGGGAGCTGGGTGCGGGAGAGTGCGGGGCGGAGAGCACCTGCCAGGCAGTGGCGCTGGCCGAAGGCTTCCTCCTGAGTCAGGCGGAGGAGGAGGACAAGGAGCGGGCGGCGGAGAAGCAGGTGAGAAAAGTAATGTCTCCTGACAGGGTCAGATCCGAAGACGTTTCATGCTGGCATTTCAGGGAGTCTGGAAACATGACAGGGGGCATTTTGTTCCCCCAGTGGCAGAGGAAAGTGTGGGTCTCCCTGTAGCTTCTGCACGAGATGGACCGGGAGAATCTTATCGCTTTCAGATAATTATCTTGTGGGGGGGTCGGGAAGGCCCAAACCGCTTTCCAGCCCTATAGATTAATGTAAAGGATTTCAGCGTTCGGGAAAAGGGGGGTTAATTCATCATCCTTTGTTTCTCTTCCTTATATCTCCACCTCGGTGGAAACTTGGCTCGTGTTTCAGGTACAAGGGCCTCCCGTGGCCACTGATTCCCTCCTCGAATCCGGGAAGGATCCGTCAGATCCCCGCCCAAAACTGCTACCGTGGAAGGTCACAGAAGGGGATCGAGAGCCAGAGAGACATCTGGGTAAGTCTTCCTTTGATTTAAAGTGTAATACCTGGTGTCCTTTTTCTTTCTTTCTTTCTTTCTTTCTTTCTTTCTTTCTTTCTTTCTTTCTTTCTTTCTTTCTTTCTTTCTTTCTTTCTTTCTTTCTTTCTTTCTTTCTTTCTTTCTTTCTTTCTTTCTTTCTTTCTTTCAAGTCTGTGTTTACCTTTTTTAAATGTATTTGCTGACATTGCAATACATAGGTTATTTGCAGGTGTCCTCCTTATTTTTTAGGCTATCTCGTGTCCCTTTCTTGGTGGGGGAGTACATGTAAAAGCAACGAAGCCGAGGGTGCTAAAGAGAACCCTGGAACAGCATCGGGCCCAAAGTTTCTCAGTTGCAGGATTCTGGCCCCACAGTGGCCGACCTGGTGGTGCAAAGGGAGGTCAGCTGGCAGGATGTGACTCTCGGGTGTTTTTTTTTGCTCCTGCCCCGAGATACTAGGGGTGACAGGGGGCCATCCAGACTAGTAGCCAGCAATGGCTTGGACGTCCCTGAACAACTTCTTTGCCATTTTTTGCCACCACATCTTGGGGCAATGAGTTCCATGGGTTAACTCTGCACTGTGGGAAGAGTATAATTCTTTTCTGTGTTTTGAATCTCCTACCCTCTGTTTTCTTCCACATAGGCAAAGGGATGACACCCTCGGGATCGTGTTCCCTTCAAGGCAGGGGAGAAGCCGCTGCCGTGCTGTCAGCTCAGGTGAGAACCTCGTGACATAGCAGGAAATTCCTTGCTATTTTTTTCTCTTTCTTGCAAAATCTAGGCTGTGGCTTCCTTTATTGAGTTGATCCATCTCACATATTTTTTTCTCTTTCTTGCAAAATCGAGGCTGTGGCTTCCTTTATTAAGCCAGTCCATCTCGTGCTTGGTTTTCCTCTGTTCCTGATGCCGTCAAGTTTTCTCTGGGTTTGTTAGCTTTCGAAGAAGGTTGAGCAAAAGGACCAGTAGGTTGTGTGTGTGTGTGTACATGTGTGTGTGTAGCTTGGTTTTCCTCTGTTCTTGATGCCATCAAGTTTTCTCTGGGTTCGTTAGCTTTCAAAGAAGGTTGAGCAAAAGGACCAGTAGGGTGTGTGTGTGTGTGTGGGGGGGGGACAGGGGGGGAGGACCTAAACTTCTCCCTAAGAGCTTTACAAAACCCTAGAGAAAACCAGAAGCCTGTGTTTGTCATTGCTGGCATTTGTCTCTAAAAAAAGATAACTCCAAAATGAACAAGAGAAATATTTTGCACCTTGTACAAATTACATTCTTCTTTTAAATATCCTTTAAAGTTGTTGGGTTCCCCCCCCCAAAAAATAAAAACAGATAACCTGAATGTTCAGAAAAAAAATCTCTTAATTTGTTTTCTTTTTATTGGACAAGCTAATCTAGGCAGGTATGCGGGTATAATAATATTGTTTTCATCTTACTGAATATCTAAATATAGTCACTACAGAAACTTAATACGATGCTGTAGGGATATAACTACGAAAACCTAAGGAAATACGTAAGTACTTCAACAGAACTTAATATTTACTTATTTATTTATTATATTTATATTCTGCCCCTCTAGTTGTTCGACTACTCGGGGCGCCGTACAACATACAAAATAAAAAATTAAAATCGCATCATTATCAAGATTAAAAAGTCATTCAAGATGGGGGAAAAAAAATAAAGGAGATAGATCAAATAGTGCCCGGAGGGAAGGCCTGCCTGAATAGCCAAGTTTTTAAATAGGATGCTTCAAAATGGAATAATAAGAAATTAACTAAAGTATTACAAATAGTGCAAACTATGATCTGAGGGTTTTTTAAAAAAAAACCTCAGTTATGTCACATCCGTGTAAGTATCTTTAGAAAACTAAAGCATAAGCAACTAAGGAATTACATCAGCGAAGGTTTGTAATGTTGCAAAAGAACGGCTGGACAGCTCCGTGGTTTAGGCGTCTAGATGCGGAGCCAGAGGTGGTGAGTTCGATTCCTCCCGGGCCCTCTTTATAGGGGCTGGACTTTAAAAGATCCATAGGGTCCCTTCCAGCTCTGCAGATGATGATGATGATGATCTTAGTCCCATCCCACTCCCAGGAGAGTCTCCTCCCCTCTATAGAGGCTCTCCTCTCAGCCTTGGCTTCTGGCTCACGCTCTCCTTTCTGGCTGTTGTTTATACCCTTTAGTAATGCTTCTCTCTCCCTCCAAATGTCAACAATATCATAGGGTTAGGGTTGATAGGTTGCAGGCTTCTCTACGTGGGCAAAATATTTTTTAATAGAAATCTCTGTTGCTTTTACTAAGGTGTCAAAGTACCAGCTCTGTACATTCCGATGCATGCAGACGGTCACTTTCGCAGATAAGTCGCCTCTCTGAGTAAACAGCAGAGAGGAATAGCACTCCTTAAATAAGAGAGTGGTGGCCTCTCCATAACCTTCCAAAAAGCAAGCAAAAAGAGAGAGAGAGAATTAAAAATGAGAGGCTGACAAAGATAAGAAATATTTGACCCTCTAAGGCTCTGTTTTCTATCTCTTCTGACGTTTTGGGAACAAGCAGGAGGGGTACTCCTTTCTACTGGATGGGAAGTCATTCTTTAGACCTCTTTCTGGAGAAGGTCTCCTTTTCCTTTCAGGGCCTGGTCTCCTTTGAGGAGGTGGCTGTATGTTTCACAGCGGACGAGTGGGCTCTCCTAGATCCGGGCCAGAGGGCTCTGCATCAGGAAGTCTTGGAGGAGAACCGTGGAAACATAGCTTTGCTGGGTAAGGAAGGAAATGTGGAACCGTGGGCGTATGGGTGGGACTTGAAGTTCAAGCGATTTTTATACTGTGGTTGGGCAAAAAAGGGCCACCGCCATGCGGTACTGGACACCGCCCTTCAAGAAGGATGCTGACAAATGTTTGGAAGAGGGCAACCGGGATGATCAGGGGACTGGAAACCAAGCCTTATGAGGAAAGACGGAAAGGACTCAAGGCACGTTTAGCTTTGAGAAAAGAGGACAGAGGAGTGATCGGATGTTGTTGTTTAGTCGTTTAGTCGTGTCCGACTCTTCGTGACCCCATGGACCAGAGCACACCAGGAGTGATAGGATAGCACTTTTCAAATACTTGACGGGCTTCATTCAGAGGAGAGGCAGGGTCTGTTCTCAATCGTCCAAGACTGCAGGACATGTAATAATGGGCTCAAGCTACAGGAATCCAGATTTAGGCTGAATATCAGAAGAAGAAAAAACTATGGGACTGTTGGAGCAGTACGACAATGGAACCCATGACCTCAGAGGGAGGTGGGGAGCGCTCCAACCCTGGAGGCATTGAATAGAATCATAGACAACCACGTGGCAGATCTCCTTTGATTTATATTCCTGCACTGAACAGGGGATTGAACTTGATCGCTTTATAGCCCCCTTCCAGTTTTATTATTCTTTGTCCTACGCAGACTCCCATTCCTAATTCTTTACTTTTTAAAAAACAAATTATTTCAGAATGTCACCTTGTACCTTTTAGAAGTGTGAAGAGCAATTTCCACTTTATTTTATTTTATTTTAATTTTTTTTAATGCAATTCCCAAAGGGCTCTCTAAGACTCTTATGGACAAATTATTTCAGAATGCCCCCTTGTACCTTTTAGAAGTGTGAAGGGCCATTTCCACTTTATTTATTTATTTGTTTGTTTGTTTGTTTGTTTATTGGAATGCAGTTCCCAAAGGGCTCTCTAAGACTCTTATGGGAGTTGCAGCAGCAGAAACTGGGATCTGCACAGCCGTAGGTTGCGAGTCATTGACCTGCACTGTTTAACGTCTGAGGCTTTTGCTTCCTGTGGCTGAGCCATTTAAAAGGAAAAAGGAAGCTGTCCCCGTGCTCCCTGGGAGCTGTCGTCTCTCTGCCCATTAGACTCTATAGGGAGTATCTCCCAAAGAACTACACTTCCCATACAGCACAGCAGCAGCAGCTTCAAAAAAATTTATTTGATTTTCAGTTAAAAACCACACACACAAAACATTCCTTTAAAAATTGGGAGGGAATGGAGGCATGAGAGTAGATACAGTGGTGCCTCATTTAATGAGCGCACCACAGAATGACGAAATCACATAGCGATAAGGTATTTGCGATTGCAAATGCGATTGCATACCGATGGCCCCTATGGGCAAAACTCGCATTGCGAAGATCGGTAAGCGTTTCGCTTACCGATCTTCGCATTGCAATGTCGGGGGAACAGCTGATCGGCGGTTCCAAAATGGCCGCCGGAAGCCCCAAAATGGCCGCGCACAGCGTTTTTGCACCCTGCCCTCGCTTACCGAGGGCGCAAAAATGGCTGCCGGACCCTGGAAACATCGCTGGTGAGGTTTTTTGCCCATTTGGAACTTGGGCTTCCCTGTTCCGTACAGTGATGTTTTCACATAGGGAGGGTTAATCCGGAATGGATTAACCTCGCTATGCGAGGCACCACTGTATTTGCCCTCCCACTGTTTTAACACTGGTCCCTATCATTCTGCTGTATGTCCTTCTGGGTTCTGATGGATGTCATGTGCAGCCCTGGGACCTCTGTAAGTCCCACCTGCCCACCTCCTGATTTACACTATCAGGGCAGAAGCTCCCAGATATACATAGCAGGAAGAGGGCTAAGCTCTGAACTGCCTAACATAGAACTGTAGATTAAGACGAGATATCGGAGATAATCTAGTCTTATTCCTGCAGATGCAAATGCTCCCTAAAGTCCCCCCAATGTCCAATTTGAGATTAGAAACCTCCAGTGGATTCACCTATAGAGACCCCTTATAGAAGGTAGGAGGTCTTCCTATCATTAATTTTTCTGCCAAATCTTGCCACATTCCAGGTCTGTACTGGGTATGATCCCTGATAACCATCCATTCTTTCTTCCAGCTGAGAGGGACAAGAAGGATTATGCCAGACCCTGTTCAGAAAGAAACGAGCCTCGGAAGATGGAGGAAATCTTCGGAAACCGAGAGCATCCAGAAACGCAGGAGAAAAAACAAACAGAGTGGGCGAGGAGTCATTCTTGGCCTGAAGATCACATCCGTGAAATCCTGGTTCCCCAGGAAAAGCAAAAAGCAGCCAGAACGCACGTCTGCCTGGTGTGTGGGAAAGGCTTCAATCGCAAATCAGACCTTAATGTGCACTGGAGGGTACACACCGGGGAGAAGCCCTACAAATGCCCCGAATGCGGAAAGAACTTCAGGCAGTTTGCGAGCCTCTCGTCTCATCGGAGAATTCACACCGGAGAGAGGCCGTACAAGTGTGCCGAATGTGGGAAAGGCTTTTACGACAAATCCAGCCACCTCATCCACCAAAGGATTCATACGGGGGAGAAACCCTACCAGTGCTTGGTGTGCGGAAAGGGCTTCCACCAGAGCTTCGGCCTCACTTCCCATCAGAGGATCCACACGGGAGAGAAGCCTTACGTCTGCTCCTACTGTGGGAAGAGCTTTTACGACAAGCCACACCTCACGCGACACCAAAGGATCCATACCGGGGAGAAGCCCTACACCTGCGCGGAGTGTGGGAAAAGCTTCAGCCAGATAACGAGCTACAATTCTCATCAAAGGATCCACACCGGGGAGAGACCTTTCGTCTGCTCGGACTGCGGGAAAAGCTTCTACGACAAATCCAACCTTTTGACGCACCAAAGGATTCACACGGGAGAAAAGCGATATAAATGCCCGGAGTGCGGGAAGTCCTTTAGTCAAAAGAAAAGCCTCACTTCCCACCAGAGCATCCACACGGGGGAGAAACCGTACCGCTGCCTGGAGTGCGGGAAAAATTTCAGGCAACACACGGACCTCGCCTCGCACCAAAAAATCCACACAGGGGAGAAACCCTACCAGTGTCCGGAGTGCGGGAAGAGATTTTACAGGAAAGCCGACCTGAACAGGCACCAGAGAACTCACACAGGGGCAAAAAGACCCATCCTTGCCTGGAGCGTGGACATGGCCTCCGATGGCGTATCCATGCTGCGTCCTCTCGGTGAATTTACACAGGAAAACCAATATATAACTCCTGAGATTAAGCAGGAAGTTTACTGTTAAGCCCTCCCTGCTTAAGGCATCAGAGAATTCACATGGAAAAGACCTTATTTCCTCTTGCTTACTCTTTATCTCAAAAATATTTGCTGCTTGTTTCCATCAGACTCAGTGACACAAACGTGAGGATGATGGCGAAACGCAGTGGATGAAACAGAACTGTCTCTTTGTATATGTAACCCTTTATAGCCTTCCCAGTGTTCTATGGGCCCTGAATCAGTCCTATCCTTCCTTCTTAATCAACCAACTTACACCAGTTTTTAGGGTGTGTTTATTTTTTCACCTTTCCTTAATTTCATGCCTGTATTTGTGTTTTCTTGCAAAAAATATACATGTCTGTTGGGAAGTCTCTCTTTAGACTGAACTTGGGGTTGAATCCTATCCTGCCTTTCCAAGGGGCCGTAGAATCATAGAATCGTGAAGTTGGAAGGGGCCTACGAGGCCATCAAGTCCAACCCCCTGCTCAAGGCAGGAATACAGATCAAAAGGGTATCTGCCAAATGGTTCTCTTAAGCTTCTCTTGAAGGCCTCCAGGGTTGGAAGGTTCACCACCTCCTAAGGTCACGGGCGCCACTGTCGTACTGCTCTAACAGGAAGTTTTTCCTGATCTTCAGCCGAAATCTGGCTTTCTGTAACTTGAGCCCCTTTTTGCATGTCCTGTACTTTGGGATGATCCAGAACAGGCCCTGCCCCTCCTCTAAATGACAACCTTTCAAGGCTTTGAAAAGTGCCGTCCTATCTCCCCTCAGTCTTCTTTTCTTGAGGCTAAACATGCCCAGTTCTTTCGGTCTGATCCTCCTGGTCGCCCTCCTCTGAACTGGTTCGAGTTTGTTAGCACCCTTCTTGAAGTGCGGTGTCCAGAACTGGACAGAATCCTCAAGGTGAGGCCTAACCAGAGCTGAATAGAGGGGGACCAGCACCTCGTGGGATTTGCAAAATATACCTCTGCTAATGCAGCCTAAAATAGCATTTTCCTTTTTCGTAGCCACCGCACACAGTTGGCTCGTATTCCCCTCCCGTGCAATTCATAGTCACATTATATCAGGCCCTCACGAGTGGTAATTATGGGCGCAGGTCTGCCTCAATAGCAAATTAAAAACACACAAATTAGCCTGGCATTCCATCAGCAGACAATTCTTGTTTAGGCTTAGAGGGTAAGAAAGAAACAAGAATATCCTAAAATCAGATCAGATAGAGGAGCCTTTTTCCATCCTGAGAAATGGAAAATGCTTGTTTCTTGAAAAAGAAAAATGTTTTAATGCCAGTTTATAGCCTCCCCCCGAATTCCCCCCTTTGACAAAAGTTCACAGATTCAGTCCAGAGAGGTCTCCCTTAAGAGAGAGTCTCACAGCACTCTGCACATGCTTTTTGAGGGTCTTGTGTGGCTGTTCAACAAATCAAATATTATTGCTTGGCCACAACCAAGAAGCAAAAAGCTTTATTCCTCTTGCCTCTTAATAGAAGAGGCACCTCCCCGTGTCATACAACCCGTTTCCAGAGCTACAATAAAATGAAAACGTAATTTCATTAAAAATATTTTTACATGATTTTATCGTTGGATAATGGGCAGTATTTATTTTATTACATTTTCATTCCTATATTGCCCCATGCTGTAGACTCCTAAATCCTCCCTCCTTCTTTGTCCGCAGAGCATAGAATCATGAAGTTGGAAGGGGCCAATAAGGCCATCGAGTCCAACCCTTGGCTTGAGGCTCGAAGACCGATGTGCCTTTGCTTAATAAACGGGTGGGTTGCTCTTGAGACCCGGATCGGAGCCCGCAGGCAGATGTATTTTTATTTTTGCATTTTCTACAGGGTGTCCAACCGGGCACGCTGTTGAGCAGCTGGGCCTCTGGGCGATTTCACAGGCGGTCAGAACCAAGCATCTCTTTTTGCGTTACGCAAACTCTTCCGGGAATTAAACCCAGACAAGGAAAAACATACACACCCCAAAACATGGGGGGGGGCCCGCCTAAAATCGGTTTTCTTCTTCCAAAAATGAAAGCTTTGGATGTGAATGCACCCCCACCTCTTTTGACTTTTTTGGGGGGGGAGGGGGTGCCCCAATGTTTCTGGTGTTTTATTTATTCTTATTTTTGTCTGGGTCTGTTTGCACAGACCCAAGAAAAGGGTCCTACGGAGAGCCGGTCTTGCTAAAATGAGAACCTCTTCATTGGTGGTGGGTGTCGTTTGAGGAGCGGGGGATTCTGGGAGATGGAGTCCCCTCCCAAAGGGAAGACCTCTTCCCCCCCACACACGGATTTCCACCGCCTCCCCGGCTGCGGCCGGCAGTGGGAAGGGGAGGGCGCGCGTGCGCAAAAAGCGCTCCAAGGCGCGGAGGCGGAGGATGCGTGTTGTTTTGTGTGTTTGTTGCGCGGCGTCCTTCCGGGACAGTCTTGCAAGGGAAGCCGGGCGGAGGGAGGAGCAAGCAAAGGCGAGCGGGGGCCCGGGGGGGGGTTCCCACCAGCATCACTCATTTTGCGTCCCACCCACCCCCCTAAAGTGCTGCTTGCTGGAAAAGGTCGGGGTGCAGCAGCAGCGAGCGCTCTAGCTCTGGACACGGGATCGAGGGCACGTCGGAACCCCTCCCGTGCAAGCGCCCGCCGGGTGCCAAAAAGGAGACGGGGAGGGGCTCCCAACCATGTCAACCCATGTTCTCTCATTTTAAACGTGAGTAGGTGGAGGCGGGTCCTGTGTCTGGAAGAGAGACGCGAGAGGGTGGATCGGGCAAACCCCAGCTGGGTTTATCCCGCAAAAGGGGGGGGGGAGAGGGAAATTCTCGCCGTCCCCGCCGCCCCCTTGGGGGCTGCTTGAGATCCTGGGAGGTGGGGCGGCGGAGGGGTGGGGGGGAGAGCCTTCCTTGCAGATGCCTGACAGAAAGCGAGATGGAGAGGAAAACAAGAATTAAAAAAGGCGCCCACCCTACAGAAAATCCAAAATTTGGCGCTGGGGGAGTTTCTTCCTTAGAAGACTAAAATACTTTGTTATGTGCTGTCAAGTCGTCCCTGAGGTCTTTAGAAAGTGCCTTTGTCAATGCTACCGATCCCTCCGCCTGGAGTTCCCAGGGCTGACTAGGAATTCGAACCCAAGCCTCCTGCCTCCCCAGCTGACACTCGTTTTTAATTAGAAGGGAAGCTGGGATACGGAGTCATCATCCCCGTTCAACCACAGGGACTCACTTTGGGTTTTCTTTTTCTTTTTTCTTTGTTCAAGTAATCAAATGTACAGTATGAGAAAACTTTTTCAGGAGCATTTAGGACCCCGAACATCAAACGTTCAGGGACGTGGAGTACAAACCAAGAATGCAGGTATGAAGTTGCCTGTACTTATGAAGGTCTGTGTCAGGGCAAAAAAAAATATATCCCATTTTCCGACGGGTGGCAAAGGTAAACTGACTCTTGAACATCTCACAAACCCTGAGAACCCCGTGGTGAGAGGCAGGGTGGTGTAGTGGGTGGAGTGGCAGGCAAGGAACCAAGGGACATGGGTTCGAATCCTTACGCAGCCAGGGAAAGTCAAGGTGGCAAGGAGTAAAACCTCAAAGGCCTCAAAAATCTGTAGAAGGTCACCCAAGGTCAAGAAACCAGGATATTCTGAAATAGAGTAACACAGCTCCCCTCTTTTCTTCCCACAGGTCTCTGTGTAATCTGTAGACCAGCGAGAGTGCTGTAGCCTATGATTTACAAATTCTACCATCCGTCCGATCCAGGAAAAGGGTTTTTGTGTTTTTTTTTTGTAAGAGTGCATTTCCGTGGCTTCCATGCCCTGCAGCGAGATGAGTCCCGAAGCCTCTTCAGCCTCATTCCCAAAGAAAGAGCATAAGGAGGGGAGAACGGAGATGGAGGAGCAGAAAGTGGCTGGCCATGAAGCACGAGGAGGCCACCAAGTCGAGGAGATATTAGGGGTGGGGGCAGCTGGCCCGGATCTACACTGCCAGCAGTTCAGGAACGTCCGCTACCAGGAGGCCCAGGGACCCCGGGAGATTTGCACCCAGCTCCACCACCTTTGTCACCGATGGCTGCAGTCTGAGAAGCGCACCAAGGCGGAGATGCTGGACCTGGTGGTGCTGGAGCAGTTCCTGGCCGTCCTGCCCCCGACGATGGGGAGCTGGGTGCGAGAGTGCCAGGCAGAGAGCACCTCCCAGGCGGTGGCGGTGGCCGAAGGCTTGCTCCTGAGTCAGGCGGAGGAGGAGGACAAGGAGCGGGCGGCGGAGAAGCAGGTAATTTCTCTTGAGAAGGTCATACCAGCAGGCCAACCTTTTCTGCATGGGGAGATGCAGAAAAGGGGGAGCCCCCCGACGTGAGTAGGTGGATCGAGCCCTTCCCAGTGGATTATGATGGAGGGGAAAAGAACGGAGGGTCTCCTTCTTCGACTGCCAAGAGCCGTGTTCTACCAGGACGGCAGGAGTTTTGCTACGCAACACAAATTCTCCCCCGTGCAAATTCTCCAACCATGGCAACCATCAAGATAGAGCCTTTCCCCTTTTCCCCAGGTTATTTGGGGTGGCGGGAGGCAGGGGGAGAATGAAGGCGATGTTCTGTTCCAGTTCTCTTCTGCCCAACTTCTTTCATGGCTTTGCTTACCTCAAAAGCACAAGCTAGGCTTTAAGAAGTACACATAGGGTTGAAGACATTCGAGAAATTTTATTTTTGCAGTTCCTAGCCCTATTCAGTCCCCTAATACCATTCCTTTGTGTCCTACCTGCCACCCCCTCTCTCTCCTGCTCCAGGTAAAAGAGAATTTATTCCCAGGGGCCCAGTATTCTCCAGAGGCGTCGAGCGCTCTATCAGATCCCATCCTGAAATTGCAGTTCAAGTGGATCATGCTGGAGCAAGACACCACTTTCCTCGGTGAGGATCAGCCAGTTCCCGCTTCTCTTGGGTGATGGATGCCCATGAACTTGGCCTTTTGAATTCCATTTCTCCCTCCCTGTTAATTTTTTTCCATGTTAAATGTTTTTTTAAAAAAGTCTGACAAATTTCAAAAAAAGCTTTGTTCCCGTGTGTGTATGTTCCGTGCCATTAAGTCAGAACCAGATTATAGTGTCCCTAATAAGGTTTTCAAGATAAGTGAGATATTTAAAGAGTGGCTTTACCAGTTCCACTCCTCCCCCAACCCCGGGAGCTTCCATGGCTGAGTGGGGATTCGAACCCTGGTCTCCAGAGTCCTAGTCCGTCACTCTTATCCACTACCAGCGGTCCCCAACCCTTTTTGGGGCCACAGACTGGTTGAAGGGAGCGAGCTCCATGTGCGGGGGATGCCCCCCTGCTCGCGCAGTGGGCATGTCATGCTCACGCAGTGTGTTGCACCTGCGGGGGTGACACGTCCCCTGCACGAACATGACACACCCACCGTGCATGAGTGCAGGGGGTGATCCGTATCCACAGCCTAGTTCCAGCAAGCCCATGGAACGGCACCAGGATGCGGACCTGGCCACCTGCTCCTGCACTACACCACACTGGGAGCCTGTCCTGCCTCTCTCTCACAGACACACCAAGTAAAGGAGGGTTTATGCTAAGTATTCCCTGGTTGCAAGCACTGTATCACAGGGTTCCCCAACCCCTGGTCCACGGCCTGCTGCCAGTCTGTGGCCTGGGCTGAAGATACAGATCTGCCACCCACCCACCCCCCCATCTAATCCCCCCCACACCACAC